CATTTGAAGTGAATATATGTATATTATTCCCTTAAGAAACTGGCAGAGTGATGACATACTTTGTAATATACTTTCCTCTGAACTTTTTTCCTAGATACTTTATTACTGGTAAGACAACTACTTTCTCAGAATCCGGACTTTCAAGCATTTTAGAATTTATTAGTAATGGTTGAAAGCACGCTGTATCAATGTGAGATGGTGATGCAAGAAGCAGATATTGTTTAGGAGTAAGTTATGAGTTCTTCCTGAAATCCATTTTAATTTCCTTCCTAATGACTAGTAAAATACAGGTTTGAGTGATAAAAATGGAATATGCAGGAACACTGTAATTCTAATGAAATGTTATTCCAGCCTTAGAACTAATTAATCTTCTGAATTTTTCTAAAATAATCTTATATAACAAGATTTCTATTTGAACTGAACATTCATATTATAACATAGAATGTAGTGGTTCAAAGACAGGGTAGATGGGAAGAGTTAATTGCAAAAGCACTTTACTAGAATTTGACATGGCACTAACCTAGTTGCATAAATTTTCCATCTCTTTACTTCCTCTTGCATACAGGAAGAACATAGAAAGGAAAAAGCATCAAATGGTGCAACTGTATATGGGAACATCACTGCAATTTAAGTAAAACATATTGCATTTATATTTTAGGGTACACTCCCTACCACATACAAAATACTTGAAGATACTCACCATTTTTTACCCCCGTCTCGATACAAGAGTGTTTTTTTTTCATGCATTCAGTTACGTATGGTAAATATTTTCTTTAAAGTTCTTCCATTTTCACCATTTACAATTTGGAATGGAATACTTCAAGAACAGCCAGCCTTCCTTAAGTGGTAAGGACTGTGCTGTGGAGTGCTTCAGATTAAAAGACAAAAGGTGTTTTGGAGCATGCGGAGTGCAAATGCAGCACCTTTTTGCAACCCTTTAAAGAAACTGTGCAATCCTAGGAAAAGGGATGTTTGGTTTAAGGAGCTGCAGGTAAGTGTTTCATTTGTACCCACATGCATTCTGAAGTAAATACCATGCAGTCCTAGTAAATACCAACTATGAACTTACAATGGCAGAACATTTGTAAGAAATATTTACCATTGAAATTGAAGAGGTAACAACACTTAGTGATAACTTTATCTGACTGAAAATATACAGAGAATTTGGGTATCAGAGATTAAGCACCTAGCAAGCCAAATTCAGAATGTATTTTATGAAGTATTTTAACTTTTCCTTCTCCAGAATTTCTTTGATGCTTTTGTTGGTTGAAGTAGTTCCCTTAGCACTATTTCTTTGTCTTTTCATGTTCAGAATACACTTCTGATATTTTGCAGTGCTTTCAAGACTTTCTATCATCCACATCTATTTAGATGCCAGGTTTTCTGGGATATAATAATTCCCAAGGTCTTGAACTCTTGGGCTCCCTCCCTATTTTTTCTTCTGAGGCATCTAGGATCCTGTTCTCTTTCAACCATAGCCCTTTGTGGTTGAAAACAGTCATTAAACCAGGTACTATTTTCTGGTTAAAAAGACACCTCAGGCTACAGAAGTACCTAGTGAATATCAAATATATAATGGGGAAAATAACAACTTACAACATTTTCAGTTAAACAATCTAAATTCAGTGGAATTCCATTTCTGAAGTACACTGTTCAACAGAAAGCAAAACAGAATGTGGCTGCATTGATCCAAAAAGTCAATGGCAAAAATTACTTGTGTGAATTAGAGACAGATTTAAAGTTCTCTATCACTCCTTTCCTACAGAGGACCCATAGTTACTGAACTCCAAACATTCAGAAGTTATATATGTTTTCCTAGTTCAAAAGGCTTTTAACAAATTTTAACAGGTATTGTTTGAAGCCTGAAGCCACTAATTCAACTGCTTAAACATCAGTAATGTGATTTACTTTTTTATCTTCTCTCTTGCAGTTTATTCTCCCTGATCACTTTCTCTTCTCAAATAGTTGTTTCTAACACTGTTCATTTCTAATCATCCTCTTTAAGCAAACCCTCTTCTGAACCTTCTTTCCTGAGACCTTTTTCTTTTGCACCTCTTTTCTATTATTTGCTGCCCCTTATTCTCCACCTCCCTCTTGCAAAAAGTAGCTCAATGGTAAATTGGTTCACAAGCAACACTAAGTCAAATAAGGTTGGTTTATTTTGGCTAATGTCATGAACTTTAGGATTTGTAGCAAAATGAATCAGATGCTTTATTCTGGCAAGCAGCAGTTTGGTCACCACATTCACCACAAAATCTTGGTATAGAGGGAGGGAGGGAGGGAGGGAGGGAAGAAGTTGTTTTTTTAAAAAAAATATGTACATTTGTTTCTGTGATTCTAGTGAAGTACTGAA